CTTGATTTTAAGCACAGCTGTTTGAGGAAGTACTCTACTACTTTTCATACTAGAGATCAGACACTAGAGCATTCACTAAAGATATGGGACAGCCATGTTCCATTTTATCCTCCACTTGAAGGGTTTCAGGACAGTGCTTCATAGAAAGGTGTGCTCTGCCTCTTGGCCCTAGACTTTATATTGATGTCATGAACATGCTTGTACTGGATCTTTATCCAATTCTTCTCGGCCCAGCACTGCACCCAGTCCCTTTTGTGGCCCCATGTTTGCATCTGTTAGGCACTGCTTGAACATATCCCTGTTGTGGTGTCCTTTGAGGAGCTGGTGCTAGGTCTCCTCTTCACCCCAAATGGCAATGAGATCCTTCATCTCCCTCTAGTTCCAGTTACGTGAACAAGGTTGGGTAGTGAAGGAAGACAGGATCAGTTATTTCATGGTCTGCAGCGATGCCCATGAAGCCTCCGTGTTCATGGGTGAGTAAGGGTCCAGTTGCAGGGGAGTAGATGGATAGATGTAGAGGTGGATGGGTGGAAGGAATCACAGGTGTGCATAGGTGCAGGTCCTGGCACTTGGCTCTCTGTCTCACTCCAGCTGGATGTGGCCTCTGATCCAGAGTGACCAGGGCTCTACTGGCTAGGCTACCCAGACAACCTTGGACTTCCCAGGGGCTTCCAGCAGACACTCCATGATTCTCACAATGTCCCACACCCCAGCCTGGAAATTTCCAGTTTCATCTATCTGTAACACCAACACATTTGGCCATGCTCCACCTGCTCCTGAAATTTCCAGGGGCATCCACCTACTTGCCCAAGCTGCAATACCCAGAGGCATCCCGTCTCCTCCCACCCCAACCCTAGTACTCTGGGACCCTGTAGCTGTGGGCCCAAAAACACTTTCAGCACTCCAGGTGCATGTGGCCTGGCTACCTGCTAGCAGTGGTCAAGCTGCACAGGGTTGCCTCTGTGTAGGCCAAGTTCTGATGTTCTGCCCCCTGCCACCCCAACTCACCAGAGGGGAGCTGCCCTCATCGGCTCCTGCTTGGGAGCAGGGTGGTGTATATGTTGGGATCTGGGTCACAGGGTACCTGGCTCTGGCCTCTGACATGTGGTATGCAGGTGCCAGGGTCAGGGTCCAGGGGGCTCTGTCCAAACACAGGGGAAAAGGGGTCCCTGGCTGGGTGTGAGGGGTGCCAGGGTTGGGGTACTTGGGCCTGTGCCTGAGCACAAGGGTTCTTCTGGGCTCAGTGTTTGGCTCTGCATGTACATCATGGGGTGCTTTGTAATGGGGTTTTGGGCATGTGGGGCATGGCCCAGGGACTCAGGTACCTAGGTCCCGGGGCTTGTGCAGGGGACACAGATGCTTCTCCCCACTGCCTGCCTGAGGCTGACAGATGCTGGAGGCAGGAGGCAGCATTGGGGAGAGGGGTTTTAGACCAGTGTATGTGCACTGAATTTCTGTAGACAAAGTTCTTTGGGCAAATGTGATATATTTTGTTAGACTAACTAAATAGTGGAAAAATTATTTTTGCAAGCTTTTGGGTACAAGAAGGGTGTTTGTACCCAAAAGCTGGCAAGGAACAACTTTTTTCCAACTATTTGGTCTAATAACAGCTATCACATTTACCCAAAGAACCTTGTCTGCCTATGACCTTAGACCAACATGGCTACAACCAATACCCCTGAACTTCTGTACAGTTAGACCAATCTGTATTCACTTTGACCAGTCTAAGTGTAATGTTTGTATGTTCCCTTAGAGTGCAGATCATGCTTTCTTTTGTGCTGCCTCTCATTTTGTCTCCCTGGCCCAATGAATCTTTCTCCATTGGATCTTCCCCTTTTTATGTCAAATGGAACACTTCCCTCTTCCCAACACACCTCAGTTTTGCCTCTAGTCTTGGGGCTAAAATGTTGTGAGAAATACAGATGTGGGTTTGAATCCTGTCAGGCATGGGAGGGAATTAAACACGAGACTCCCATTTCCTGGATAAATGCTATAAGCATGTTTAGGTAAAAGGGCGTAGGACCTGTTCCTCCACCTCTGATCACTTGTATAGGACAAGATAATTCCTGCCCTGTTTTTGAAAGAATGGGCCAGGTGTATCCTTTCAAGATAAGGTTCAGGGCTATGAATCCTGTGTGGAGGGTGGCACCTCATGGTCATGGGGATTAACACATGTAAGGAGAGGGGATTTCATACCCCTTTCTCCCTATGGACTTGCTTATATAACTACACCTCCTAGGTGTTCAACTCCTAATGGAAGTAAAGCATCTAAATACATTTGAGGATCTGGATTTTTGGACCTCAGTTCTCTATCTGGAAGCGATGAGGATAATATTTCCTTTCTCCAGTCCTAGCTCTCTCTTGTCTATGCAGATTCTGGGTCTCCATATGTGCCTGTACACATTTATTACCCTACATAATAGCTTGATTATGGTACCAAAGCTTTGTGTCATTGTCAGTCTCATTCTTCAGTATTAGCTTGAGTATAAAATTTTGTCTGTCAGCAGTACTGAAGAACAACTCAGAAATTTCCATGATTTAGTCCTGTGCGCAGGCAGCATATAATTCATACTGGAAAAGATAAATGCATAAGAGCAATGATAATGTCTTCTTTGTCAGAAAAGTGCAGAAAATAAACAGCTACTCAAGAGAAAAAGAGAAGAGATACCTTGATACAGCTCCAGGGAATGCTATCAGCATTTTACTGGACTGACTGGTTTATTTAAATGTCTACGCTGCCTTTAGTTTAACTCTAAGCACATTGCATAACTTTGCAGGCTACAGGCAACCTATACAAAACTTCTAAGTCATCAAGCTAAATAATCTGATCCCACAGAGGAAAGGCTGGTTTGGTCTATGAGCACAGCAGCCTAGATGTGGAATCTCTCCTATTCTCAGCAATTAGAGCAGTAGGTCAGAATGAAACTGTACAATCCTAGCAGTCTTTACTCCCATGAGTAACTATCCTAATTTATGTAAACAGTTGTTTTCAAACTGCCACTGAATGTCTTGGCATATGACTTCACAGTGCTTATACAAGAGGCAAGGATTTTGGGAGAGCGATATCTTTTATTGGACCAGCTATCTATTTGGGAGAGATCTTAGACCAACTTTCCTTTCTCACATCTAGGAAAGAAGGAGAGTCAGCTTAAACTAGCCTGTGTAATCTCCATCGGTAAGTACTTTGGGTGTCTGTACACATGCTCTGTGGCTGGGGAGAGGGCATTATAATTAGAGCGGCTCCCAGGAGCCACTCTAATTAAAACATCAGCAGCATCTTGTGTATTCAGCATCCTGCATTTTAAAAAAGGAGGCAGGGGCACTTTAAAGCTTGTTCGCCATTTTGAAATGCGGGGACACTAAATATATGAGACTCTGCAGCATGCTCGAGTGTTCTGATCAGAGTGTTCCAGCAGACTCCACTAGTCCAGCAGACATGTTAATTGGGTCTGCTCTGGTGCCTTCTAATCAGAATGCATGGGAGCATGCATAAAAGTGCCCAGTCTGCCACAAGAGTGCAGTAGAAAGAATAGCCTGCTAAGTGGAAGAGCAAGACCATTCAGGATGGAAGAAGGTCATTATTACCTGTGGAAATGCAGCTTCTTTTGCAAACCAGAGAAAGGGAACCTTGTTCCCAAAAGCTTATCTCAGATCTCTCCCAATTTTCCCAATAGAAGGTATTGCCCCCAAAAACTTTGCCTCTGACATATTTCCTGGATCATCACAACTACAACATCATTCCAACACTACCACAGCATAGAGGATATTCAAAAGGATTACTCAGGAGAGCCCAGCACTCTCAGAGCCATAATTATCCTGACTCTTCACAACTACTGAATATCCTGGGATTCTAGCCTTTCACATCTTCCTCCCAGATGATTCTGCTCTCCTGAAACAATTTTTTTCCCCCATGACCCCATGTAAGTCTCCAATTTTTTTCTTATATCCTAATAATAGAATCTGGGATCCACTCATAGTCTCCCTTCTTCCGTTAATTTATTTAAAAACTCATGTTGTACTGGAGAGAGTAGGGTTAGAGTATTATAGTTATGAGCATCCAGGAAATATGCAAGAAGCAAGGGGTTTTTTGGAGGTACCCCCCAAAAACCCCATTCTTCTTAAAAAATAGGGAAGAGAGATTCTCCTATTTTAAGTACCAAAAGAGATGGACAGAAAAAACTCAGCCAGTAATAATTACCCACTCTAATTGAAATGTACTTTTGGGGCTGCTCTCCACAAGGGGCCAAGCACACTGGCTCAATACCCCGCATGACCAAACCCCTTATTCTTAGACACTATATAATAATAGTCTGTTTAGCACTGACAGCTGGCACACCGGTGAACAGCATGCAGAAATAAAGACTACCCCAGCCTTGAGGAATTTATAGTCTGCAAACCAGGGTCACATGTAACTAGGCACATTAGGCTACCATAGGAAATTCAGATTTTTTTTTAAAGAACTCAATCATACTCTTCTATCTATTCCAAGAGACTTCCTACACTTCCTGATGATCACAGTGAAGCATTCTAGGTCCATGCAGCACATGCAAAACTCCAAAATTGTTAAAATGTAGTTGTCTCAGTGCAGTGCTGGGTGTGAACCAGTAAGTTCTCTCTTTCAAGAGTGCCCAGGTCCATGCTAAGGTGACCACATGATATTAATTTTGGGACATGGCTTGCACAGAGGAGGTGAGCCATGCCTCAGTGCAGTACTCCCTAGCATAAGTTTCAGGTGGTTTAGACACACCTGAAGAATTTCTGATCTATGTATATAAAACAGACAAAAGCTGGGAGGTGAAGCAAAAAGGTGAAGTGACTTGCCTACATCACACAGCACCTATATCTTTATGCTAGGCCAGAATGGCAAAATTCCCACTGATGACAGTGGGACCAGGATTAGACCCCAAGGACCAGTTTGCAATCATTCATGTATGCCAGGGCTGCCCAATTTGTAAGCAGCCAGGGGTTGCACATTAAGTAGGCTGCACTCTCTTCAACAGGGAGAAATCTCTCTGACACCACCCACGGTTGTTCTCGAGAAGCTGGGAGAAACAGATCGTTTCCCTTCAAGGATCATGCTGAGAATTTTACCTGTCAGCAAACAACCCGAGTGCCTTGGAGTGGTGAGATCCCAGCTCTCGCTCTCACTCTTTCTCTTTTTCTCTCTAGGCATAGATTTCTGAACCTGAATTATATTAGTTAAGCTTGAGCTAAGTTTCCCCAAATACTCAATGAAACCAGGGTAGTATTGTCATTGTTTTTGTTTGTTTTCCTTTGCATGTCTATTACTACTAGTACCATTATATATTTCATATACTTAGCAATAAATAACTTTTATAGTCAAACTAGTGGTAACCGGGTATATTTTTTCCTTCTCTACTTCTCCTTCCCCACTTGCTCTGCAGCAATGCTTTTACCTAAGCCAAAGATCCCTGTGAAGCCCAGAAATACTATGAAGCCCCCAATACTGTGGGGTCTGCTCAGCAAGAGGCTAGCGCTACTAGGACAGATAAACTCAGCACATTCCAATATTTTGCCCTGAGACGCATAAGGGGATCAGCTTGTACAGGCTGATTGACCCAGTTTGGCTCACACGTGCCCTAATGAACTGAATGCCAGCCCATGAAGGTGTCAGCTAGACACCCACCTGGATTCAGAGGTATTCTGTTTACTTGTGTCTGACTGCATTTTATTGTTACCCTAATGAACTGATTCCTGGTGTGTAAGGGTGTCAGCCTGTACATGCTGATCAACCCAGCCAGGTCAGGCACGTCACGTTAGAGTGTGTGTGTGTGTGTGTGTGTGTGTGTGTGTGTGTGTATTTGACTAATTTGGGGGCTAGAGGAACCCAGCCCCATTGAAACCGAGTCCTGCAAGATAGCTCCTTTGGGGGTGAAGACTTGCAGAAGGGAAAGATACAGCTCCGTATAGAAACACAAGTAACACAAGCAGCACATTAATAGAATTACAAAGACCCTAGAAATGTATCCCTAATAAATGAGCACACCCCAAAGTGATAGGCAAATCTGGTAACGACACAGGCAGGTGGTTCTCAGCTCAGCTCTCTCATTGCACCATGCTGGAGATTCTTCTGGCGTTGTGGCTTTGCTGCCTTGACCTTTAAGGCAGGAACAAGAAGTGAAAACTGAGGGAGAGAAGAGGAACCTCTAGACCCCAGCTGCCACAACAGCAGCTGGAGCAATAAGGGGGTGGCAGATTGGTAGGAGCTCAAGGGCTGTACATTAACTCCTTGTGGGCTGAATGTGGCCTGTGGGCTCCCAGTTGTACAGCCCTGTTGTAGGTAATGGTCAATGAGAAATCAATGAGAGCTCTGGATCTATAAAGACAACCAGATCAGACCCTTATGTACAAACAGTTGAACTGAGGCAACACACTCAAATTATGAACCTTTAAGAGGTGCACTGTGAGATGTCCTTGACCTAGTGGGTGGTGTTCTGAAGAAAACCCTAAGGGGTTCCACAAGTTTTTGCAGATTTCAGTCTGACCAGCTAAGTCACTCAGAGCTGTTAAACACATTTTATTTGGAAACAGCTACTTCACCTGGAGAAGTTACATCTCTTAACCATTGTTGCATGTCTTTGTAGTTGCTTGCACAGCTCATCTCAAAGCCTGCAATAGTTTCAGTTATCTTGTTGAAACATGATTGGCCATTTTATGATCTCACTCTTACAGATGTTCTTACCGGTACTGATCTCACACACAGTCAGCACAAGCTGCCCAGCCCAAACATTTCACAATGCACCCAGCATACTCCCTGTTTTGTGGCTCATGAGAAGAGCAAACAGACAGACCTTTCTATTAAAGAGAACATATCTGGCCAGTGTAATGTTCATTTGGTAATATGCACAGTCATTGTCTGTTGATGGCACTGCTGGGATTTCAGAATTGGAGAGATGAAGAAATTTAGAGCTGCTCTTTTCAAAGTAAACCATTTAAGGAAGAACCCATATACAAAGAAGTACATGGACTTTCAAATATGAAGGAAGAAAGCGTAGAATAAATGTTAAGCTATGCTGAAAAATTCTAAAGCAACAACATAATTCTCTTTTAAGCTGTATGGGTTAAATTTAATAGTCTAAGGAAACAACATTTTCTATTAAAGATCACCACCTAATTCTTAGGTGTCCTGTCTCTTACAAGACTTCCTATCACTAACCTAGGTGCTTAGGTCCTTATATTTGTGCTTCAACTATAAGTGCATGCTTCAAGAGGTACTACCAAGGCCATGACCATTATGCAGGGCAGTATACCAAAAAATTCTGAGAAGAGGGGTGTTCCACCTTGCTCATGAGTGTAAGTGACTAGCTCCAGGCTGCAGGGACATGGCTCCCTCTACTTGAGATTCAGAGTCAGGAGCCCCTGTCTAGATGGCTAAACCAAATGGATTTTTTCTGACACAGAATCCGGACAGAAGAATTATTCCTGCCTGTATGTAACAGCACAGTGTCCTCTTATGAACAAAGTAGAAAAATATGGACCTTAGGAATAGGTCTATGTACTTTTGTCTCTCAGAACCTGAAAGGCAAGCTCCACCAGCCTAGGCAATATTTTTAAGCGGCCCGTGTGTGCAGACAGTGGAGGCCATGCTTCCTGAGCACTAGAGAGAGCCTTTTTGAAAAGGGCCAAAGGAAAGCTACAGCCCACATGTGCCCAGCAAAGCCTCAGGCCTATCATGTCTGGGTTGGAGAAAATTGGCCCTTAGTTCAAAAGAGCCATTAGTCAGGGAGACAGTCTTAAGTGAAGGTGAGTGATTCCAATTTTCTTGGGTCTTTGTACCATTAACAACATTTATGATTACGTTGTTGACCTAAAATTATAGTACTATTGTTAGTTCCAAGTTGATTCAGGGGCTGTGATTTAGAGTCCTGGCTTTTGAGCCTGAACTTGCAGCAACCTAGGGCAGTGTTCAGTAACACAGAAGGACAGCATAATTTGCTAACTGAAAGCACATACAAGATAAAAAAAGGATGCCTTGGATGTCATTTATGCTAGAAGAATCCTTCACTGAACCATGGCAGTGCAGATGTGGAAAATGTGGTTCGTTGGTCCCGTTCCATGCTGTGACAGCATGGCAATACTTTGTTTGCTGAACCTATTATCCCATGGTGTATGCTTTCCTTCTGTGTCTGTTCTCTAAAGGATTCAAATCTGCTGATGGTGCAAAATACAGGACAACAGGCCAAACCCTCAACTTCTGTAAACTGTTGTAAGTACATGTAAATAAGTAGAGTTATGATATCTTGCAATAGCTTAGAATCTGGCTCATAACTATTTAGGCCAAACAACAGAGGTTCATATTCTGGCTGTGGAAGTCCTGGCTATTGTCACTAGAGAGGATCCAGATGATGGCCAGTGTACAATGTCCATTGTTATGTTGTACTCTAAAAAGTTTCTTCTTTTCTTCAAGTTCTGTGTTGCCAACCCCAACTATGGACAAAATCATGATTTGGGGCCTATAACTTAAAAATCAAGATACCTTAAAACCATAAACCTGTGACCATATACACGTGGGAAAACCCGTTATGAAAACATAGAATGATTCACTCTTAGAAAAATTAGCTAAACAGAACTGCATTTTAATTTATGCATTATAAGATAGTATGTGCTACAGGTTTCCCTCGCTTTATGCAGATTCTGTATGTGTGAATTCGCTCTTATCCGATAACTCTTTTTATACTAAAAATTTGTTATATGCGAGGTAAATTCACTCTTATGCAATTGGTGTGGTGGAAGACTGCAGTCAGCTGCTTTGTGCAGTGCATTGTGGGAGTGACCCACACCAAAATATAGTTTCCTGTCTCGATTTGTGTTCCCTGCTTGTTGTCTGCGACACATGTAGTTGCCATCCCCAGTATGGTAACATTCACTACCACCCTGTGCTTGTGTGTACTGTCTGCTGTTGATGAGTACCAAAATTGTCCTGTAAAAGTGGTAGAAATGGGTCTGAGGGTCACTACAGTCGAGGTCTTGGAATGTATCTCTATTTGGTACATTGTGAAGTGGGTTCCCTTTATGCAAATTTGAGTTATGCGCCATTTCCCAGTAACGCATATACAGCATAAAGTGAAGGAAACCTGTATTGCAAGGGGTACTTGAGCAGGCCCTAGGGGGTACGTCCTGGCAACCGCCATATGTGAGCTTCCCCTGCCACACGGCCAAAAATGGGGGCTGGAGGAAGTTGCATGCAGCAGCTGCCACTGCTCAGCATCCAGCAGTGCACCATGCCCCATCTCTCTCTGCTCGGGGTCCAGCTGTGGATGAGTTCATCTCTTCCTCGCTGGCTTATTTAGTTTAGTCTTAAAGCTGAGATGATGGTGTGTTACAACAGTAGGTGCATTATCATTTTTCAGAGACTTGAACAGGGTGGAATTGATTATACTTAGGTGCTGTTAGGTGGAATAGGGGCTGGTTAAATAGGGACTGAGCCCATAGTGAATATCACACCCACTGCAAATGGTCTAAAGCAGTGGTGCTAAACCTCTGACCCACGGGCAGAATCTGGCCCACAGGGTCTGGAAATTTGGTAGTGGGGTATCAGTAGCAATATTAATTACCACGGCTTCCAGAGCTGTGGCAATTAATGCTTTCAGTGCTCCCCCAGTGCCAAATTTCTGAACCCATGGGGAACCCTGTGGGCCAGATGGCATGGCATCATGCATTGGATTGCACTGGCATGTGGTGTCACTTTGTGGGCAGAACTGGCATGTGGGGACAGGCCATTGTGCAAAGTCAGTCCTCAGCCAGATCATACCTACAGACTGACCCAGCACCCCATCCCCATGCTGCGTCTGGCCTTGTGGACTGACCCTACCCACAGGATCCAGCCCACGGACCAGCTCTGTGCTACTCATCTGAGGGGCCAGATGGCTGAGCATTACTATTCTGAAGTCCTGTTGTAAATATAGCCTTTGTCTTATTAAAATATGGAAACTAAACATTCTTTTTATTTGCCAGAAATTCTTTAAAATATTAGCTTTTCAGCTGCTCTGCTTATTTTTTTTTCTAATTTTCAGTTTCAGCTGCCAATCCAAAAAAAAAATTAAAATTAAAATAACATTTTATGTGGATCATCCCAAAGCCCAGATATTTTGAAATTTTTTGGCAACTAACTCACAAAAAAAAAAAAAAAAAGAAAAGAAAAAAAGAAAAAGCACATTATTAGGACACTCATCCAGGCTGTGGGAGATCCATTTTTCAACCACTTTTCTGCCTGATTCAGGCCAAGGATTTGAAATAAGCTTTATAACCTTCTAGGACCATCAGCTTATAGGGCAGGGATGGGCAAAATATGGCCCGCGGGCCAGATGTGGCCTGTGAGGCCATTTTATCCAGCCACGAGGCCCCTAAAAACTTAGAAAATTAATATTTATCTGTCCTTGGTTCCTGTTGAAAATGACAGGAGACAGGGGCAGTAGGACCCAGGGGAAGCTGTGGCGGGCTCCTGCAACAGCAGGGCCCACCCGGCCCTGCCCCCCCAGTCAGAAGCCCCCTGGGGCCATGTGGCTGCACCACAGGTAAGGCAGGAGAGGAGGGAGCAAGCCCGGAGCTAGCGCAGGACCCAGCCTGGCAGTGGGGGCGGGTTATAAGTTGGTGCTGTGAGTGCAGCGAACAGTGGCCCTTCCCCCACTGCGTGGCCAGTGCCCTGCGCTGCAGCTGCTCACAGCCCACATGGGGCTGCCTGTGCCTGCTCAGGACAGCCCTGCATGGGCTGCGAGCAGCTGCAGCAGGGAGTGCCAACTATGGGGTGAGGGAGGGGCCGCTTTTCCCCATGCTCAGCACCAGCTCCTTCCCTGCTGGTGAGCGCAGGGCCGGGGCTGCACGCTGCCCCCCGCCTGTGCTGCAGGGTTTGGGGGGGCACTGAGAGTGAGCGGGTGCGGGAGTTAATGGGAGCACAGGGCCTGCACTGGTGTCCCAGGGCCAGCGCCAGCAGGGCCCAGAGCAGGGTGGCAGGAGTACAGGGTCCCGGCCAGCAGGGGCTCTATGGAGCTGGACCAGCTCCCCCCTCTCCCTGCTGGTGCAGCCCAGCCCAGCTCCACAGACCCCTGCCAGCCTGCACCCTGCTCTGGCCCCCACCGGTGCTGGCCCTGGGACATTGGTCCCAAGATGGTAACAAGGGGCCAGGGCACCTGTCAAGGGGCGGGGCTACACATGCGGCCCTTGACAGCTCGCCAAAATTGGGTAAGCAGCCCTCTGCCCAAAATAATTGCTCGCCCCTGTTATAGGGCATCCTGAAGTGTATCTCAGTTAGACTTTTTTATCAAAGCTGGTCCACTTTGTAAAAATACTTAAATGTCTCCTGGAGCAGAGACTAAACCTCCACTGCCAAATGTGTGCCCCAACAACTTTCTCCTTGTTTTTGCAAATGTTTTATAAGTGTCCTCAAGATTCTACTATCAAAAAAATCAAAATAATTTTGGAAGTGTCAAAACAAAATGTTTCAACATTTCCAATTTTATTTTCCCTTGTTTTCTGTTTGCTAAAATGTATTTCCCAAATGTAAGATGTATTTGCAGATAATTTCAGATCAATAAAAACTGCATTTTCTGGCTAATATGTTTTTCACGAAACACCCCTCCCCCCTGCCAATCCTAATGAGATTCCTTATGTATAAACTATATGAGCACAGCTGTACCTGACCTTTTTTTGTCATGTATATATTTTTTTCTGAATCCCTACACCTGGAGCTACAATGTACGAAAAAGATTAAAGCAGCAGTACAGGAAGAGATGTAAGGTGGCAGAATGTCGTTATTAGGAGAAAGTGATTTTACAGATCAAAAACAAAATATATCCTTTGCCTTGGTGGTGATCATTTGAAATTAATTTTGAGTCTCATTTTTCCAAATAACAAGACAGATGCCAATGTCTGCACCATCATGACTCCACTGTTTTGGTTCTTAATAGATCAGACTTGGAACCTACAGCTAACCATCACACACTGCCAGTAATTACTATATCCTAGAAAATAAGGGTGGGATTTTCAAAAGGAGTTCATTATCCACTTGTGGCTTTCTTATCTATTGTAGGAGCCAATTTCAGAGCGCAAGACCAAGCACTGATAATGCCTTAACTCCAGTTCCTGAGAATGCAAACCTGTTAAAAAGAGCATCTTATTTCATCTCAGGTCCCTGGATAGTGCACAAGGAAAGAGGCAATTTCTATGTCTGTTATGAAAATTCAGCATGGAGTAAAGTAGGTTGTGAATTCAAGTAGCTGTTCCTCAGTAACTTAGAAGGTGGACAGTAAGTGCTCACATATGGAATTAATCAGAACCAATTAATCAGAAATAATTTTACACAAAGAAACTAAGATACATAAAAAAGATGTTATACTATGTGTCTAACTCTTAAAACTCATCTTCTAAGAGTTACAATGCAGCAAAGACAACAGCAGAAATCTGTATATGGGAGTTGTTCATCGGAGCACACTGCATACCCTATCTCTAACAGAGTCTTGCGTTAACTCGAGGACGCCTAAGGCTGTACATTTGCCATTGCTTCTGTGTCCAGTTTATAAATGGTAAGTCATTCTTTGTTACCTTCAACAGCAGCAGATCTCTCCATGAATGTACATCCTGGGCCTATGTGTGTCCTATCCTTCATGGGAAAGTCACTTGGGATTTTATTTATCACAGCCAAATTGAGTCTCATTTTTAAATTCTTCGCAGACCATGAATAAGCTCTTCTAAGCACAAAACCTATTTCTCTCTAGAGGGGTTTGCTTTCATAGAGGATTTCTGTAATATCTCAGAACCTCATTTTTAACTTTGGAGAATCTTAAATAACTAACACACAGAGTTTATATATGCAGCTTGTGATTTTCACCTCCTCCCAACTCCTCAGACTGTTGATTAAGTTTATTTTAAAAGCTCAATTCCAAATCAGTCTTGAATGACTTCTGTAGGTCTCTGGAATGTATCTCATTGGTGGGAGAAGGCAACCATAGGCAAAACTTTGTAGACTGTTTTGAAAGTTTTTTTACCATCTAATCCTGTTCAGCAAAAGAAAATCTGAAGCCTGGATGACTTTTATGTGTGAATCGTATTTTTATTTACTTCAATCTCAGCTGATTCACAAGATCAGAATTTTAATCCTGCTCTACTCAGCACCATTTTCTTAAATAAATATTTAGGAGAAGGATTTAATGAAAGAAAAATTAAAGAAATGTAAAGGCGCTGCAGACTCACAAGAAATTAATACGTTTAGCCTACACAATTGGCCACTAATATCTACAGCGGTATATATGACAAAGATTAAGGTTCAATGCAACCTACATTCCCATGTTTCCTCTCAAAGAGTCAAGAGGAAACAATCCTTCATTATACATTAAGATTTTGTTATGTTTTTTATCACTCCTTAAAGATCCTACCAGTGTCGCACATAAGCTTAGTGGTGTATTGGTATTGCAGATTGTTTACTAAATAGGATCATCCATCCAACATACCTCCCCAGGCCAAAATAGAGCACATCTGTACATCTCAAGGATTGTGGTCCAGATTTGTAGTTGATATAGCTCCAGCGAACTCAAAATGCTACACTAGTGGCCAATTTCATGGTAGAATGAAACTTCAATGTACTTCCCAAGAAAATAGTACTGTAATAGTAGCTGCCTGCGTAATTATAATCAGTGCTGCAGCTTTCATATATAACATGTTGGGGAACGTGGTTGTGTTTTAGTGGCAGCAAAGCTGGGGAGCAATAAGAAATCCCTGAATGTCTTCGGCATGCCACCACTACACATGAAACATGTTAAAAATAGGAAAGTCTTTGGCACAATTGAAAATTTAGCCATTCTAGCCCAGACATGCACTTCTAGTGAAAGTCCTTGCTTCCCATCTAGGTTTGTTTGGTTGTACTGTACATTGGAGGTTCAGTGAGAGTGTCAGATACTGTGGTATTATATATTTTGTCAGGTGGCCTAGAGACAGAGTAAGACAAAACTGTTTGAAAAGTGGTCATATACGAATAACAGGAAGAAACTCTTCTTTTTGACACTGAGGAAGGATTTAGTATAAAGTAAATAATCTGAGGTGTTACAAGAAGTAACTGTATGTGACATTTATTTTCAGCTTGTTTCTCTCCGGGAATTGCATCCTTACACCTGCACCACTCCCCTGCTCAGCAGCCAGGCCTAGTCTGCAGACAAGCAGCATTATGACCTAGAAGGTGGTGATTGGCTGAAAACACCGACTGCTTGCCAGTCCCGCTGAACCCTCCCTCTGACTTGGCCAGGCTGACGGTTACGAGTGCCAACTGCCATTTGCAGGTGGGATGTGAGCCTACCTCTTGGTCGCGGGTGCGGTAGACAGGTTTTGTTGGTCCTGTCCATTGGAGGCTGCAAGGAAAAAGAAACCTGCTCAGACCCCTGAATCAAAGAACACTGGTTCAGCCACAGGCAGGGCCCATCATTTTATTCTAAGTGTTTCCAGCCGTATCTCCCAGGATCATGTGAAGCTATAGCTGTGCAGTGTGTGGAGACACCAGAAACAGAATGGATAACTCCTAACTGCCTCCTCCCGGGGCTTTTGTGGCAATGTATTTGCTTGGCTTTCCTTTGACCTCTCAGATGGTTCATTCAGTGTCACCTCTGGGGGCTCCATGTCCTTCCTTTCTCACACTGCAAGTGCCTCACAGGGACCTTTCCTTTTCCCCATCTTCAGTGTATCCCTTAAATACCTCATTTGTTTTTGGAGCTTTGAATACTATTTGTATCTCTCTCTACCCTTGATGTTTACGCCTCTGTCAACTCTTCCCTCTGCCTGTGCCCTTCAGATATTTCTTCCTGAATCATCTGTATGAACTCAGTTTCTCAAGACCACAGCCTCTTTTCTCTCCTACCTCTTACTTTGACCCTTGCCCCTCTCTTCTACATCAGCAGTTCTCAAACTTTAAGCCTAATGCACCACATCTAAAATGCCAAATACCTAAGATATTCCCTTTTCCAAATCACATTTCCTTCCTATCTAAGGCTTCTTCACTCAATATTTCTCTAACTCCCTAGACCCATTAAGATACCTCTTCCAGACTGTGTAGGTTAAAACAGTCCTGGGACTGCTCTTACACATTCAACCCTGATAACAAGGAAAGTAGAATCCAGCCCAATGTATCTAGGGTTTTTTTTGAAGACACCTTTCTCTGTCAGTCCTGCCTGGGTAGCACATATTCGGGTATGTTAAAAAAGATACAACTTTCTGTGTGACACACAACATACTTAGGAGTTAATTCCTAGCTTTCTGAAATCATTTGAAGCTTCCCACTGATTTCTTTGGGTTTTCAACCAGTTTATTTCAGAGGTAGCAATCCACTGACTCAGAAAAAATGGTTGATCGTCTCTTGGGAACTTGGAAATCAACCTCTTGTGAAAATTTTGATGAATATATGAAAGAATTAGGTGAGAATTGTTATGTGCTTTTAATCTTTTTCCCTTTAAACTTAAATGTCCTCTCTCTCCTTAACTGAAACTAATGTTTTAATAGAAACAGCGGGGAGAGGGACCTGTCAGTTTTTTCTCACATGCAGAGATGTGACCAATGTCTGAATACAAAATCTGATAGAACTCCTCTTTGTTCAAGACATTCAATAGTAGAGCACAGAGTGCTCAAAATGATGCTGTGTTGGCTACAAATGTGCAACTCGGGATCCTTAAAATTCTAGTTTATTAGGCGGATTGAAACACTGTAATCATAAACCTTGGGGCTGGTCCCCACACACACACACATGCACACATGCACACACATACACACACATAGTAGCAGGCTACAGAGTCAGGTATACCTATCCTACAAGCGCTGGAGTCTGTCGTTGTGGCTTCTTTCAGCGTGGTGTTATCTTCCAGAAGGGGGTCGCCGGCTGGTCCTTCTGGCTGGACAGGTCTGGTCGAGATGGAGATCAAGAGGGCGCCACTGAGGGTCACTTTTCACTGCCTTTTATCTGTCCTTGGCAGACTTTGGTGACTCCCCAGTTTTCAGGTTTGCCCAATCCAGGGGTCATTGACCCTCGTGGGACTTCCCCCCCCCTCAGTGGCTACTGGACGGCATCTGTCAGCCCCAGGGGTCGTCCGCATGAACGTGCAGGTTTGGGAGTCCGTTGATGAATTTTGAATAGGGCTCTGGGAGCGGCCGATCTGGAGATATTCAGCCCAAAAGTTGGTCCCCGGCGTTGATTAACTCAGGCCAGGGCTTCTAGCCCTTGATCAGTGAGGTTTAGAGATTTCCCGGTTGTTACATTGTCTTCTATTGAGTTCTTCCCTTGGCTGATCTGCAGCTTTCCTGGTGTTAATTGCTGCCTGCTGCTACAGTGTTACACATTCAATCACTGATTCACTCCAGGGGCCAGCCTGATACAAGGAAGGGCAGTTTGATTCCTGCCCTTGTTAACATTGTTACAATGTATAACTTACTTATGAAACTAAACACATTCAGTTGAAAGTTGAAAGGTGAGGAGTATAAAATATAAGCTACAAATGCCATGGCACACAAATAGATAAAAATACCAAACTACAAGGGGAGATACAAAATGCACACACACAAATTTTAAAACACAATTCCGTATCTTAAAGTGAAAGAGAGAGGAAGGAAGAAAAGGTAGAAAAAGAGAAACATATCCAAAGAGGGGAGAGCAAATGCAGGAAAGAGGAAAAGGGGGCTTTCTGCTACAGCTGTAGGGACTGATCCTCTGTTGGTTTAGCTATGACTACAAAATCTTCTAGTCTTGAAAAAAGCCTAAAATCTTGTAATGTTTGTTAAATGATCTCAGTAGGCCTTTGGGTTTCAAGGGGCAGTATATTCAGCCTGGCACCCAGCAGGAAAATGATACATTCTAAGAGCTTTGAAAGCATTCTGTTTAAAGACATACAATGTTGCCAAATAGGAATTGCAAAATTGTGATTCTTCAGGGTTTTTTAGGGGTGGGAGTGGAGAGGGGAGGAGGTGTGTTCCAATGATTAGTTTTAAATTCTGTTTTTTATAGGAGTGGGCTTAGCCACCAGGAAATTGGGTAGGCTGGCCAAGCCCAGCATGACAATCAGTGCTGCAAGAGATGTAATAACCATCAAAACCAAGAGTGCTTTTAAAAATAATGAGATTTCCTTCAAGCTTGGTGAGGAGTTTGATGAAACCACACCAGATGACCGGAAAACCAAGGTGAGGATTAAAGCTTTTAGTCAGAGTGCTCCAAATCTCTGCAAAAGGTTATGGAATTATGGAACCGGGGATTTTAACATGGGATTAGCAAATGTGCTAGCTACCAGGGAGAACATTTCTGAAATTCATTCAGATCTGGAAAGCTTGATGCAGTTGAAATAGACTTTTTATACTCTGAGGATGGAGAAGGGCCAGAGATTTTATAAAGTCTGCTAATAGTATTTTTCATAAGCTATTACAGAGTCTAAGGCAGAAGGGACCATGCAATCATTTAGTCTGATCTCCTGTTTTTCACAGGCCTTTAACTTCTGCACAAGTTACCCCCATGTTGAGGACAATGATTTGTGTTTGGCTGCATCACCTTATCCAAAAAAGCATCCAGTCTTGAAATATCAAAACCCTCAAGAACTAGAGAATCTAAAACTGCCCTTGACCATCAGTTCCATTGGTTCAGTTTGTGACTTATTTTTAACTTGAATTTTTCTGACTTCTACTTGCAGCCATGAGCCATTGTTTCTTGCTTTTACTTCTTCTGCTAAGAGCTACATATATTTAGTATATTCTCCCAATGAAACAGAATAACTATACTGTAATCAAGGCATTCATCAGTCTTCATACTGATACTGACTGAACTCTAACATTTTTAAGCATGCTTTCCAGTCAGCAAATCACATTTGTTAGCTCTGCACCTTCTTCAGTATTTTAAATGCCTTTTAAAAATGCCGACACCAGAACTGGATATAGTATTCCATTACCAGTCACCCAGTATTGTATACAGAGGTCAAATCAGCTCTTGACTCATATTCATTACTCTCCGATTATAGGATTATATTTGCCCTTTTTTCATTGCACTATAAGTGCATGCTCAACAGTTTTTCCCTGGCACAATTATCTGTTCTGGAGTCTCTCAAAACCAAGTGATTATGATTACTGCATAGGACTACCCTGTCCTTATATTAGCTGTTGTACCAAACTTTGCATCATGATTTGCCATTGCACCAACCATTCCATCACTGGCAGTGATTCTATATTTGCTCCCAGATCATCACTGAAGATCCTGAATATGACTGGGCCTACTGCTACTATTGCCTTTTATCTTATGTAAAAAGTACTCAGAGACTAAAGTGATGAGTAGTAGCAAGATACCCCAAAATAGAAGGTGGTATTTTCTGACTGCAGAATAAATTACTTCTTTAATCCAAAGGACTACATATTCTTCAAGACGAGGGCTCTGTGTGCTTGTTCAGACCCTAGAATGAATAGTAATCCTACCTGGACTCCCATTTGGGAGCTGCTGCAGTAAAAACTATAATTTTTTCTGGGCACAACACCCACATTTAGTTACTTTGTGTTTCTTCAGAGCATTGTGACCTTAGAAGATGGTTCATTAAATCAGGTCCAGAATTGGGATGGCAAAGAGACTACAATAAAAAGGAAAGTGGTGGAAGGGAAAATGGTGGTGGTGAGTTCATTCTTGTTTTATGCCCATGGAATAATGCAAAGACCAGTTGAGATCAGCTAGCCAGTCATACTTTAATTATACATTCCATCCCCTCAGAAATTGTGGCATATGTTAAAAATATGATTTGCTGCCAGGGAAGAAGGAAAAGAAATTAGAATTAAATTCGTATTATTGAACTGGGAAGATCCAGGTGAGAATGGGCCATTGGTTGGGATAGAAACTGAAGACCTGGCAGAACTGGTTTCAAGACTTTGCTTTGCCACCAGTTTTCTGTGTGACTTTAGGCAAATAATTTTTATTTTTTATTATTGTGCAAGCTTCATCAAGGAATGCCTCTTCTGTCTTTTAGGAATGTACCATGAATGATGTCACTTGCACTAGGATCTATGAAAAAGTGTGAGGAAATTCTTTCACAGCCTACTAGACTGGCACCCACAATATGTTTAACTATTATATGTACTTAATAAAAAGCATCCAAATGCGGACAGACTTGTAAGTGGTTGGGTTTTCTCAAAAATTGTAAAAATTATCTATCAGTGAATTTGTCTCATATGGAGAAGCTGCCTTGGGCAAATCTGATCCTAACAGAGGTTCGGTACTTGACACTGTGCCTTTTTTCATCAGCTAGTTAAAAAGCTTGTTGGCTGCCTTAGAATATTTGTCCAGGTATTTTGCAGCTACTAGATAGTTCAGATTCATTGTGCAGTGCTTGAGGAGGCTAAACCAGTTCAAATCTGTAAAACAACAGAAGTTCAGTGCACATAAACCACTTTCTAAATGGCTGAAACCAATTTAAGATAAATCTGGATGGATGCAGTATCAGATTTAACTGATTTAAGTTAAATCAGTTTATTGAGCTCTGTCCCAGATCCCCTCCAGATTCCAGTTAACTCACAGTCCCCCAGCATCTCAAGATGCTTTGCACCTCACCTGAGCACCCTCCCTCCCCCACACTTATAGGGTGGGCAGCTAGCCTTGGCCTAAGCTGTCTGCTCCAGCCAGGCAGGGAGGCATACTCTAGCACCTCCCTGCTTCTGGCCTGGACCACAGCAGGCATGTGGCTGCATTTCTGGAGTCAAAAGTGAATGTCTGTTCACTTGCTTATCAATTCAATCTATGCAGCTTAGACTAACCTGCAACAATTGAATCAATTCAGCCTTGGGCATTTCGACTGTCTGTATTTAGCCCTGGACACTCAATAATAGCTGAGCCAGCTGAATGATAAAAAAGAAGTTTAAAACTGAAGGTAGCCACAGTGCAACAAGAAGCCATAAAAGCTGACTTAGGGCATTTGTAGACAACACATTAAAGTGGGTTAATGCCCTTTAGCACTGCTTTAATGGCATTGCTGTTTGCATGAGTTTGCAAATTCGGCGGTGTAGTGCGCATTAATTCCAGCCGCTGTGGCAAATTTGGTGATGTAATGCACCTTAAATGACTTTGGGGCGCAGCAAACTAAAGCACCTCTGAGTAGTTGTATTTTGCTACCTTACAGCCGTGGAGGGAAGCACCAGGTTGTGTGTGGCTCAGGGGCTGTGCAGACAGCCCCAGCAGGCAGCCCAGCAGCAGCCCAGGGAGGCAGGCTGCACTGGAGGAAAAGAAAAAGTGGCAAGCCTGATCTTTTTTTTTTTCATCCTTGGAGCCTGCCTGCCTGCCTGCCTGCCTGAGCTCTGCAGGGGCCCGGTGCTTCCCTCTGCAGCTGCGGTGCCCCCTGAACCACCCGCTCCGGGTGCCTGAAGGTGGGTGCTACCTGGGGGGTTGCCACTGCTGTGGAGGGAAGCACCACCCGGCAGGTAAGGGACCGCTTGGCCCGCCGGCAGTTCGCTCTCCCCTCCCCACCACCAGAGAGGCAGGTAAGGACATGGATGTACACAAGGTGGGGGTTTACTTTGCACGAAGGACATGGATGTACACAAGGGGGGGGGTTGCTTTGCAGGAAATTGAAGCTTTATTTTTTTAAAAACAATGCTTCAATTTAGGGAGAATTAAACCCCTGTGTTATCTACAAATACCCATAGGTAGCTACAGATTCTTTTTGACTTTAGAAGTAGGTGAAAGAAATTAGCAAGGAGCTGCTAATACAGAACTGTACCTTCCCTTATGTCTTTTAGTGCTCTGGGTTTATATCATTTGCTGTTAAAAAGTAGCTAAAATTCAACAGATTCCAGATGCACTGGTGCACTGCTTTTAGAAGTGCTTTCTAAGCTGATGATCATTGTATCCCCATTGGCACTACTAATCATATGGGGCTTGGCTAGGCTGCCCAGTTTCCTACCAGTAAAGTCCACTCCTTAAAACAGAGATACAGTTCAGACTTTTGCATACACATCCAGGAAGGATATAGTTGATGTAAGTCTGGTAAATGGTCCTAGTGACATGCTAGAAGCTGTATCACAGTTGGCTATGTAGGCTCTGCAGTCCTAACAGGAGTATAAAAGATATCACTGAGATGAGCAGACTCTACAGAAATCAGTGCATTGGAAAAAGCTACCATTTCTTTCATAGCCACTTTGAAATTAGAGTCAGTAAGTTTTCATATGTTAGCATGTCCTAAAGTATAGCTAGCTGTACAACCCAGTTTTTGAGTTTAAACTCCTGATCCAAGATTTCCTAAGAAAGAGTAACATGGCTGATATGAAAAGTATGATGGAAAAGAACCAGATATTTTCCTAATAGACCTTGTAACTTTTACTGATTAAAAATTAAAATTATCCTATAGATTTCCAATTAACTCCACAAAGGCATCATGGTACTCATGATCAAAAGTACTTATCAGAGGATTAACAGTTAATATACAGAGGTCTCTACTTTTTTCCCAAGCCCCATTTATTAACTAGAAAAGAAATAATGTTAGGATTTGAAGAAACAAGAGTTAGGAACTGCATTGTTCACCCCAAATATCAACTAGCTATTAATAGGCCACACGGAAACTTTCATAAATAAGAGGGGTGAGAGTGGAAGGATTGGAGGAAGAAACTAATTATATTCTCAGGATTTCAACTTTAAGGCTAAGTACAGATAGTCAAAACCCGCAAGGCAGATTAGTCTAAGCTGCAAAGATTGAACTAATAAGCAAATGAACAGATATTCACTTTTGATTCAGGAAATGCAGCCACATGCCTGAGGTGGCTCAAGCCAGAAACCAGGGGGACCTACAGCATTGGTCTCTGGCATGTAGCCAGCATGGCCTGTGTGTTCACTTCCTCTTCCTGCTGCCCCTGAGGTCTCTGGGATTTGCAGTCCAGAATCAGAGCAGCAGGACTCTCCAGAGTTGCTTATCACTTCCGGTTCCTGCTTCATAGTTTCATAGTAGGTGGGGTGGGAAGGGACCTAAGCAGATCAGCAAGTCCGACCCCCTGCCATGGGCAGGAAAGAACGCTGGGGTCAAGCAACCCCAGCTAGGTGATTATCTAGCCTCCTTTTGAAGACCCCCAAGGTAGGAGTGAGCACCACTTCCCTTGGAAGTTGGTTCCAGCTCCTAGCCTCCCTGACTGTGAAATACTGCCTCCTGATATCTAGCCTGAACCTACTCTCAGTCAATTTATGGCCGTTATTCCTCGTTATTCCCGGTAGTGTTCGGGGGAACAAGGACTCTCCTATAGCCTGCTGGTTCCCCTTGGCCAGTTTGTAGATGGCCACCAGATCCCCTCCAGCCTTCTCTTGTGTAGGCTGAACAGGTTCCGGTTCCATGGCCTCCGCTCGTAAGCCTGCCTTGCTGCCTTCTGATCATGCAAGTGGCCCTCCTCTGGACCCTCTCGGTGCTGGCCACATCCCTCCTGAAGTGCGGCACCCAGAACTGGACGCAGTACTCCAACTGCAGCCTGACCAGTGTCACATAGAGGGGTAGGATCTCCACCTTGGACCTGCTCATGATGCATCTGTGGATGCATGACAAGGTGAGGTTAGCCTTCCTGACTGCATCCCCACATTGGCGGCCCATGTTCATTTTGGAATCAATAATGACACCAAGATCCTTTTCTGTCTCTGCTGACTAGAAGGGAGTTCCCCAGCCTGTAGGTATGCTGCTGGTTCTTCCTCCCCAGGTGCAGTACCTTGCACTTGTCAGTATTGAATCCCATCCTGTTCTCATCCACCCACCCCTGTAACCTGTCTAGATCTAGTTGCAGACTGTCCCTCTCCTCCAGCATGCCCACTTCTCCCCACATTTTAGTGTCATCTGCGAATTTGAACAAGGTGCTTTTCACCCCCTCGTCCAAGTCACTGATGAAGATGTTGAACAGTGCAGGCCCGAGGACCAAGCCCTGGGGAACCCCATTGTCCACATCCCTCCTGGTCGAAAGAGACCCATCCACCACCACTCTCTGGGTATGGCCCTGCAGCCAATTTGCAACCCATTTGACTGTGTAGGCATTGATGCCACAGTCACTTAATTTCTTAAAGAGAATGTGGTGAGAGACAGTGTCGAAGGCTTCCTAAAGTCCAGAAAGACTACGTCCACCATGACACCTGCATCCAAGGACTTTGTGACCTGGTCGTAGAAGGCCACCAGGTTGGTCTGACAGGATCTGCCTCTGATGAACCCATGTTGGTTGCCCCTAAGCATAATCTCCCCTGCTGGTCCCTCGCAGATGTGCTCCTGGATAATTTTCTCAAAGACCTTCCCCAGGACTGAGGTAAGACTAACGGGCTTATAGTTACCTGGGTCCTCCTTCCTCCCTTTTTTGAAAATGGGGACTGCACTGGCCCTTTTCCAGTCCTCTGGCACCTTACCAGAGCACCACGAGTGCTCGTGAAGCCATGCTGGGGATCCCACAATGACCTCTGCTAATTCCCTCAGCACTCTGGGGTGGAGATCGTCAGGATCTGCTGACTTGAACCTCTGAGATTTGTAGTTCACAGTTGCAGCCAGCATTAAGTAAGGAGGGCAGGGCAACTCCATACTCAGGGGAAAGTAAGTTTAACTCCCGTCCATGGCCCCAGACCCCAGCAGGGAGTTGTAGGGGGGGGGCGGGAGAGGGAGGGGCAGTGAGCCAGCCCTCACTGCTCTAGCTATGAAGCGGAGGGCTGGGACCAGCCCTGTTCTCTGGAGCAGACAGAACAACCCATCCCAGCAAAATGCTGGGATGTTGGAGACTATGATTTAATTTGAACCAGGAAGGAGTCTGGGACAGAAATTCCATAAACCAGTTTGACCTAAATCAATTAAGTCTGATACTATATTCAACCAGGTTTATCTTAAACTAGTTTCAGCCATTTTGAAACTAATTTATGTGCAATGAACTTCCATTCTGTTACAGGTTTAAACCAGTTCCTGATCACTTAAATCGGTTTGTGTGTAACTTATGTCTCTAGCCTAAGAGAAACAGGAATTTCCTACGTGGATAACAGTACTTTTCTTACACAGTTATTTCACAACATTCTCAGAGTTTGCACTAGAAATAATTTCAGATACTTACAAATAACTCATAAATTACATAAACTAGCTGAGTCTACTATTTAAGTACAAAAGCCACTCTCGCTATAGGATCAGACTTGTGGAGTGATCATAGAGTCCTGGTCCTCCATCCATACTAGATAGGACCAGAAGGGGTTCAACAATAAATATCAGACAGCCACTGCAAGGGAAGTCAGATTACAACCCCTGCTATGGCTGCACATGTCTTTCCCTCACTCTACTATAAGTGAGCCTGAATCCCCTCAGTAAGTGGAAAGATAGGAGTCCCCAAATTGGCAAAGTCTGTGTGCATTGCAGCAGGGATGAGACCTGCTGAAATCCCAGTGCAGCTATGGAAGCCCCATAGCTTCCCCAACATAGATGCCCCATAGCTTCCTCAACATAGATGCCCCAACCTGAAGGAATTTAAGAAACAAGATTCTGCAATAAAATTTCACCAGCAAAAAATCTTAAGTTCTAGGCATAGAGCAAAAGCACTATTGGAGCTGCTGGCCGGGGGACAGTGTTTCACTCAAAAGCTCCCACATACCTGGAGTTGTTCAAAATATGATGCATACTCTTAGATCCTACTTAGTGGAGACTCTGAAAGCCCTTCTCTGGAGAAACAGAGTTCATCTTCAGCATCTTCCATGTCAACAAAGGAAGTCAGGGACAGGGTCAGAAAATGAAAAAGAATCCCCTCCTCAAGGGAGTCTGCTGAAAAGCTGCATCACAGGCCAGCTGTACACAAGTTAGAACATGGTCAGGAAGAGTGAGCAGACCTCCTCAAGAGACTTGACCTTTAGACTTTAGTGTATAGTTCTATATGTATATATCATGTTGGTTTAGCAATATAATTAGACGTAGGAGTTATAGTTAATTGTTAATTACTTAGAATGAGTTGTAATGTAATCGTGTTCATTATAAAGAAAGATGAGGGGTATGAAGTGATTGTAGAGTCCTGGTCCTCTACATACATTAAAGAGGACTAGAAGGCGGTACTAAGGGGACAATATTAAAGGTTAGACAGCCCCCACAAGGAAACCAGATTACAACTCACACTGTGGCAGTATGTATCTCTCTCTCACAATACAAGGATCTCCTAAAATACAAAGGCCCAAAAGCTTCCTTTTAAAGATAACCTGCTCATGAATGACTCATGCCCCCGGTGGCTAGGGGGCCACGGCGGTGGTGGGAGTGCAGTGGTAGCAGCGGGAGTATGGCGGCAGTAAGCAGGAGCTCCCACAGACACTGCCAGTGCTGTCGGCAGCACGGAGGGATGGGGGTGGTGAGCACCGACCAGGGGTCAGCAACCACCCACAGACACCACAGGTAGCGTTGGCAGCAGCCAGCAGCAATTGCTGACTGCCTGCATATGCCACCGGCAGTGTTGGTGAGGAGAGGGGGGTAGCAAGCAGCAACCACCTGCAGCCACAGTCAGGGGGTGCACATGCACCCATGTGAACGCCCTATATGTCACCCCTGACCCTGATCATGTGATGTCTAGGCATTCTTCTCTCTTTCATTTTAATTTCTTTTAACCTATAGCTAAGAACTATGCAGCTAACTGTACTTTGTAAGGTTGATTAATACATGTTATTAATGCCAAAATTAGCTCCCATCTAAAATCAAGTATGTTTTTTATCGTTCAGTAGAGGAACATAGTAAGAAAAAGAAATCAGCTTACTCAAAGTAGTGGAAAAGCATTTTAAAGAGACATGTTGGTCTGTGTAGAGTCAAAAAGGACCTAACCCATGTGTCTTGCAGGCCCTGATTGTTTCAGATGGCAGTGTGTTCTGACCTTCCCCTAAACTATGTAAACAACTACTAGTCCTAGACCTGGCTGCCCAAACATCCCAGCTCCTTTAGCTAAGCAGAAAGTTCAAATTGGGGAGGGAAGTGATCATTTGCTTCGACTTTTTCTCAAACATTTTTCTATCCACTTTTTCTCAAACATTTTTCTATCTTGCAGAAGAGTGAAGAGTAAAGAGTGAAGAGTGCTGCTCTGACATTAATACTCTGTTTCAGCCTTGTGTGAGAACTGTCTCAATTTATCATTCCACCTGTAAATACTAATCCCTTATAAATAACTCAAAGACTGGGAAAATCCCAGTTCCTGGTTTGTCTTCCAGCTGTGTTGCCATAGCTGTTGTCATGCAGAATGCAAAGTTTGTTTGGCTTTAAAAAATATCTTAATATTGTATAGATGGCATCATGGAGATCTTAGGTATATAATAAACTACTCTTTAAATTATACATATGTTATAGGGTTTATCTAGGTTGACTCTGTCCTTGTAAGACTTATGCAGCTGTTGTTTTGGAAGCTTGATTCCTTTGCTAATTATCCCCTCCGGTTTAAGGTGAAAACCAAGGTCCTTCTTCTGCAAACATTTATACAGCTGCTCATTTTGTAAATGGCAATAATCCATTAAAGCCAGTGGGAATACTTTGGTGCTATAAGTGATGTACATAGATACAGTTGATTCAGCCTTGGAGCAGGGGCAAAGACAATAGACAAAAGAATAGCTGAGCTCTTGAAATCTCTTCCAGCCTATTTTCTATTAATCTGTATTTGCAGAACCAAAGCCCAAGTTTGGGTCATGTGCTCTGTTACTGTGTTTACTGCAAGCCCTTAATTTTGCTTTGTTACTAGAAGAAATACAAGAAAACACTGGCGATTGGAGAGTTTGACAAGAATTCTTTCCATTGGCAATTTCCAAATAACACATCTGAGGCATCTTTAAAAACAAGCTATTAGGTATTTTATGCTGAATCACTCCTGTCCTCTGTTTAAAGTGTGAGAGAAGGAAGAGGGTGGTGTTGTCCCTTCCATGCCTGAGGGTTATTGCATATGTACATGTTGTGCAACTGGTTTTTAGGAAGCTGGGAACTTGTCCCTAGTAACAAGTTTGAAAATTATTTGGAACAACTAGGTGAGAAATGCTTTATCTCCATGAACTGTCATCTGCTTCACTTTCTCTGACAATATGCTCTACTGGATTGCATTGATATTTGGTTGCTGAAAAATAAAGTTTACGAATGCCTCTATGATATTCAGATGTCACCTGGTAAAGTGCTAGTATATACCACACTGTCGCTTTATCAGCTAATATGGCTTTTATAGTAACATTGTCTGAAAATGACAAGCTTAAAGTATACTGCTAGGGGTTAAACAGTGTTGTGAAGTTACATCACTTACATTACTAATGTAAGACAAGTACATTAGAAATGGAGCTTAATAAAAAGATAATTTCCCCTCCTCTTCAAGCAGCGTCATGGCTTCCGAGAACAAAATAATTGGATACTTTTTCCGTCTTGTGCAACATTCTCAATGACAAAGGTTTTGAGGGTCAACTTAAGCGCTGTAACTGCTGTGTAATTCCCTTCATCTGATGGGCTGGCATAGGTGCATCTGTGAGGAACCTCCTAAAAACAGTTCTGTTTGCCCAGCCTGGAACAGAAACTTTCTCCCCATTAACAGACATAAAAAGAAGTGCTTCAGTGACAGCTGACTTCTGTCACTAATGTAGGAGCTATGACAGCACACAAGGAGCAGACTGCTCAGCTGCATGACAAAGTACAACTTCATGTGTAATTGAAGTACTTTGGGACAAACTCATCTAACTTAAACCTCTCTTCAATTCTGTGATACAGCTGTCATCAAGGCAACCCTGTCCAGTGCCTTATGGGGAATTTTGACTGAAATATAAATTATGCACAAACACTGGAACACAATTCAAAACTAGCCTGTGCAACAGGCCTGTCATTAAGACAGACTGGTTGAGCTAAGCTTAGAGAGAAACCTGCTCCGAATACTGTATGCTTATGCTAAAATGTCAGAAGTTCCCATGCTATAACACTTAAGCATGCTTGTGCTTTCCTGACCTCCCACTCTAGTGTAATGTAGAGAAAATATCTTTTTTTAAAAAGCCTAGAAAGGCCTTTGGAAAACAAAGTAATTTCTTTCTCTGATGTAAGTGACTAGAGATATAGTTTTCTGTTTTTAGAACCAGAGTTTGTCTTGTCTCTATGTCTTCCTACTTGCTCCATTATATGCTCCTAAGCCACCCATCTTCCATTGCCAGCAAGAACTCATATTTCACTCTAAAACTGAGATCCTAGATGACTTCACTGCTTCTCAGGCACGGGTTTGCCAGCAGCATGACTAGGAGTGGGTGATCAGGGCATCAGCCCAGGTGCCAATTTAGAGGGGGTGCCTGTGCCACAACAGCAGTAGCCCACAACACAGCAGCAACAGCAACAATAACATCTCATTTGCAGGGAAGTGTGTGGCATCTATGACATTTGGTACCTTCGTTGCCCCTTCTCACCTCTACTCAGGGTGCAAAGGTTCTTAGTTATGCCTCTGGGGCTTGCCATGAGGAAACCAGGCAGCCTAGCCAAGCTCAGTTTGATCATCAGTACAGACGAAGAATGTGATAACAACACACCTGAAAGCTCCATTAGAAATATCCTTCAGGCTGGGCCAAGGGTTTGAGGAAACTATAATAGATAACAGGACAGTAAGTTGTTTTCTGACTAATGTACAAATTCTTCCATTTTTTCCAGCTCTCTGGCCTGGTTACTGTAGACTTTGTGTTCTGTGAAATGTATGAGTAACCCAAATTATTCCTTGTAATTGACATTGAAATTTTCCTGCCTTTATGATGCTCATATGTCTGGTTTTGTGGGAAACTAATGAGTTAGCTACTCATCTTAATCAAAACTCACCTGAATAACTTCTAAAGTGATGGTATAACTTGCTGCATTACTAAAACCCTCTTCAGGATTGTTAAATATGTTAATGACCATCTTAAAACCCTCAGGGAATTCCACTTGTAATATTCCTACAACCTAGATAATTGAGTATTCCCCCTCTAGCAGTTATAAATGCCAATACGACCAAATACTGTTCTCAATAGTCACTTGATCAAAAGCTTTTTCTTTCTCCTCCCCACCTTGAAGGACAAGTCAACTCTAGCTACTTAAGTGATACTCTCAAATTTCCTTTTCAAAAGCATCTGGGTTTTTTCCCATCACATTCAGCTATGGCTTTTACAGCTTTATCTCTAATTATTGTTCCAATTAATTTACAAGATAATGAAGTAAGGTTCATTGGTCTGCTGCTTCTTGGATCATGGCACTGCCTTTCTAAATTTAGTACATTTGTCTCCATGAACTATCTTGCCATAGAAATGGACTTTTGTTCTTTTGTCAGTATTGCTGTCAAACATTATTCTGAATTTCTTCCAGAATTTGTGGATTCCAATCTAGTTTTGTTTTTGTTTTTTATTCATTCTTCAAATTATTTGAGCATCTCTTTTTTTACCTTTGTCATTGTCAGAGTTTGGGACGGGTTGATGAATTGAGGGTATTAAGGCATGCTGCTGTGCTACGTACCAATCTTGCATCTAGAGCTGGAAGCACATATATGCTACTTCTGTTTAGTCCTTAAATATTGTGGGATTTAAGTTTTTGATGAAAATGGAGAAGTCTTAAGGAGATTTAACTTTAACTCCTCACTGTAATATCAGTCTTAACACTAAACACCTTGCTGCCTTTTTGCTGTCCTTTTCTTTGATGAATTTGATTGTCTGGGTCAGCCAGAGCCATTCATTACACCCATCATCTTGCCTACCTTTTCTAGGAAGACATGGTCAGCAACATTCCTCCCCAACACCTACAGGCCACCAGAGAACCTGCAAGGCTGCTGAGTGAGCTGCAGTGATATTTTTGCTGTGTTGGCTGGCTGACTGCTCTGGCCCCTGTGAGAACCAAAGCTGGAAATGTGACCTCAGAACAGATTGGCACAACCTCAGAACCAATGAAAACAAATTCAAGAAAATTTTAAAACAAACAAACAAAAAATACTAGTTATACTCAACATCCCTCCACTCCTCTGGGACTTTGATTTCATAACATACCTGCATTCTTTTTTTACAATTGCTCAATACCATAATTATTGAGGCGGACCGGATTAGAGTGCTTCTGGTGGGGCTGGACGTGTTCAAATCATCAGGTCCAGATGCTCTCCACCCCAGGGTGTTGAGGGAGCTAGCAGGGGTTATTGCAGGGCCCTTGGCACAGCTTTATGAGTGCTCGTGGTACTCGGACCAGGTGCCAGATGATTGGAAGATAGCCATTGTGGTCCCCATCTTTAAAAAAGGGAGGAGGGAGGACCCAGGCAACTATAGGCCCATCAGTTTTACCTCAGTCCTGGGGAAACTCTTTGAGAAGATCATCAAGGAGCACATCTGTGATGGGCCGGCATCGGGAATGATGCTCAAGGGCAACCAGCACGGTTTCATTAGGGGCAGGTCATGTCAAACCAATCTGATTGCCTTTTACGATCAGGTCACAAAAGCATTGGATGCAGGTGTCACCGTGGATGTAGTCTTTCTGGACTTCACTGTCAAAGGCCTTGCTGTCGACCACCCCATCCTCATTAAAAAACTAGGCGACTGTGGCATTGATGCCTACATGGTCAGATGGATTGCAAATTGTTCAAATTGCCCGCACTGTTCAATTTCTTTATCAGCGATTTGGACGACGGGGTGAAAAGCAACCTGTTTAAATTTGCTGATGATACCAAAATTTGGTGTGAGGTGGGCACACTAGTAGGGAGGGAAAGACTGCAGCAAGACCTGGATAGGTTACAGGGGTGGGCTAACAAAAACAGGATGCATTTCAATATGGACAAGTGCAGGGTGCTGCACTTGGGCAGTAGTAACCAGCAGCACACTTATAAGATGGGAAACTCCCTTCTTGAGAGCACGGAGGCAGAAAGGGATCTTGGAGTCATTACTGACTCCAAGATAAACGTGGGCCAGCAATGCGAGGTCACGGTCAACAGGGCTAACTGGACCTTATCGTGCATCCACAGGTGCATCTCAAGTAGGGCCAAGGAGGTGATCCTCCCCCTCTATGCGACACTGATCAGGCCACAGCTGGAGTACTGTGTCCAGTTCTGGGCACCCCACTTCAAGAGGGATGTGGACAACATTGAGAGGGTCCAGAGGAGGGCCACCTGCATGATCCGGGGACAGCAGGGCAGACCCTACAATGAGAGGCTACAGGACCTGAACCTGTTCAGCCTTCACAAGAGAAGGCTGAGGGAGGACCTGGTGACCATCTATAAACTCACTAGGGGGGACCAGAAGGGTTTGGGGGAGACCTTGTTTCCCCTAGTGCCCCCCGGGATAACAAGGAATAATGGCCACAAGTTGTTGGAGAGTAGGTTTAGATTAGGCATCCGTAAGAACTACTTCACAGTTAGGGCAGCTAGGATCTGGAACCAACTTCCAAGGGAAGTGGTGCTGGCTCCTACCCTGGGGGTCTTTAAGAAGAGGCTTGATGCCTACCTGGCTGGGGTCATTTGAGCCCAGTTTTCCTCCTGCCCAGGCAGGGGGTCGGACTTGAAGATCTACAAGGTCCCTTCCAACCCTACTTCTATGATTCTATGATTGAATAGGCTCACTGGCTAATGATGACTGATAGGGAAGTGCTGTCCTTTCTTTGTATTTGTCTCATTCCAAAGCTGCTTTTTCCTATTAGCTGCCTCATCTCTAGCTACACCATGGGCCTTATATGTATTCTGAACTCTTTTCCTTGCCTTTGCAGCTATTTCCATTTCCACCTCTCCTCAATCCTTCCTGGACTGCTTGTTCCGTCTCTGAAAATATTATATACATCTATGATCTATTTTTCTTCTGTTTTTATTATTTGTTGAAATCTAGAATCTTGATCCCCCCCTGAATCATCACTCTCATCAAAGCATATTTCTGACTCTACCAGAGATGCACGATAAGATCCAACACAGCTTTCCCAGTTATTTCCTTGCAGTCTGGCCCAAGTCACTGTATAGTCCATGGAGGGTATTAGGACGTTTCAAAACAATGGTCACTGTTCAGATTGCCACCTCCCTGCATCTAGCATACAGCATTACCTTGAACACCATGGTATCAATCATTATTTGTAAATGTCATAGTGAAGAATTATGTTTCTCATTATAGAGGCAGCAGGGCTTACTGGATAGAATACTTGATCGGTACTCAGAAGACAAAGATTTTATTTTTGACTCTGCTAATGTTGTGTTGGGTAACCTCAAGCAATCACTTCCATGGTCTGTGCCTCAGTTTCTCCATCTATTAAATGGGGGAGAATGATACTAACTTCCTTTGTAAAGTCTTCTGAAAACTACTGAAACAAGAACTGTATAAAAGCTTGATATTATTAGTCTTACAACGTAACTTCTTAGAGGCACTTATTAGCTACTTCAATACATTAATAAATAAGAAATTTAGCATCCCATTTTCAGAGAATAACGGTCAGAGAATGACAGTTATCAAACTGCTGCTGTCTGAGAAAATCTGTACAAAGTTCTAGAGCACTGTATAGCATTAGAAATATAGCCAGAAAGCCCCTGTGGCTGGCTGGTTCCCAGATTGCACATACAAGTCCTCTGGAAATCTATGCAAGAACAAGCAGACTTCAGAGTGCTCTGACTTGTGCTAAGGATGGGGTGGGTACTTGATGGCCCCAGGATCAGGCAAATGTGAAGGTGGTTTACAGTTGCGTTTCCTCTCAGCACTTCTTGGAGGTACATCAAACACAACTGAGTCACTTCAGCTCATCTGGAATTTGTTTTGTCTTAATTATATACTTGGTACATAAGTATATTATATTAAGTATAATTAATATACTTAATTATATGCTATGTCAGCTGGACCAGCAGAAGTCATCTGATTGAAAATAAGCAACAATGTTGTGTGTGCCAGGGCAAAATATTTTATTCAATAT